AAATGGTCCCTAATTTCCTTGACAAGTGAATAGACTGCTTGGTTTATATGCTTCCAACAATGAAGACTTATAGGATGAATAATTTAATTTTCCAATAGCTCAAAATATTAGGTTCTTCTGAAAGTCTTTAAGTATTTGAACATAACTGGAAATTTCTCCTTTAAATATTTTTTCCATCATGTTGAGAATCCTTGGCTCTAATATTGAGCCCTTTTTCATGCAGACTGTTTGTAAGATCTCTTAGCATTTTGATTTCTTTTAGAGGTGGACTTTAATTTGCCAAGAAGCAGCTGGAAATGTGGTAGACCAAAGTGAAAAGGATACATCAGGTAAAGCTTGGCCAACAAAGCAAAGAGAAAACTTGGCATTCTCACTACTTTGGACACTTTGCTTTCTATCAGTCTAATCTGTTCATCTGAGTTCTTTTTGAACCACACTATGCTGTTGGCTCGTAATGAGTTCGCCAACAAATAAAACCTAGATTCGACCACTCCCACTTCAACTCCTGGCTTCATTCTGTAATGGCACATTTCCGTTATCCTTTTAAAAGTAATTTTTTTAGCCAAAATGTAATGTTTTGCATTAGTATTTCTAAATACAGTAATAAAAGTGGCAGTACATGCTTATACAGTACTTATTTTACACAGGGCAAGTTTTTAACATGTTACCTAGACTAACTTTAAAATTTAATATCCTTAGCTCTCACCCTCAACTTTCTATAATTCTATTAGAATACACTCATCAATTTCTGTTAATTGCCTTGTAAGTTAAAGCAAGATGATAGTTGGCTATTTACTAAGCACTATGTTTCAAGCACTGTGCTGAGGTATTTTTGTTGGTTTGTTTTTTGGGCGTTCTCCCCACCATGACCTGACCTAATTATCGCCTAAGCTTCATGAGGTAGCTAGCATACTCACTTTGCATACAGGGAAAATGAGATTTAGAAGATTAAATAACTTGATCCTGGTCTTATAGGTGGCAAATATCAGAGCCAGGATTCAAATCCAGATCTTTCTCACTCCAGAATAGGACTCTTAACCACATGATGTGTTTATCAATAAGCTGGAAGTTTATAGGGATAGACACCTAATTGTTTGAGTATTCAAGACTGGCTGAGACGATTGTCAGTATAGGGACACAGCTTCAATGGAATTATGATTAGTTCTGAACATAATGGCTCTTAACAGTTCCTTCCTTCCTTCCTTCCTTCAATGAATGCTATAGTCAGGGGGTGCCTGGGTGGCTCAGTTATTTAAGTGTCTGCCTTTGGTTCAGGTCATGATCCCAGAGTCCTGGGATCAAGCCCTGAATCAGGGTCCCTGCTCAGCAGGAAGCCTGCTTCTCCCTCTCCCACTCCTCTTGCTTGTGTTCCCTCTCTTGCTGGGTCTCTCTCTGTCAAATAAATAAATAAAATCTAAAATAAAATAAGTACATTATAATACAATAAATAAAATAAAATAAATAAAATAAATACAAGACAAGACAAGACAATAAAATAAAATAAATGAATGGTGTAGTCAGTACCTAAGTATGCAGAGACACTAAACAGGGTATACTGTTAAGTCGGGAAATAAGGCCAGAAAAAGGACACTATCTGAAATGAAAACAATAAATATCAACATGCAGAGTTGTGTGCTTGTCCTTTTAAAATTGATTATACATATTAATCTAATTAATATGTACTAATTTTTATATGTAAGAATATAATTTATATGTAAGAATTCTAATTTCATTGTTTCCTATATAGATAGCCAATTATTACAGAAGAACTTAGTAAGTAAAAGAGCCCATCCTTTCTCCAATGATATACAAGGTTTTCTCTGGCATAAATAAATTGAAGCCCCAACCCTATTGTAACTATATTTGGAAAGAGAGCCTTTAAGGAACGTAAATAAAGTTAAATGAAGTCATAAGGGTGGGGTCCTAATTTGGTATGACTGACATTCTTATGAGAAAAAAAAAAAATCCCAGCAGAAATCTTTCTTTCCACATATGTACAGAGAAAAGGTGAGAGGTAGACACAATGAGAAGATAGCCTCTATAAACCAGAAGGAGAAATCTCACCAAAACCAACCTTGACAGCAGGTCTTCTAGCCTCTGGAACTTGGAAAATTAAATTTCTGTTGTTTAAGTTACCCAGGCTATGATATTTTGTTATGGCAGTCTGAGCAGACTAATACAGATTTAATGGACCAACTCCTTTGAAAAATACAATCTATAAAACTTACCCAGAGAGAACAGATAATCTGAACAAGACTACATCATTTAAATAGATTTCATTAAAAATGAATAATTGTCAAAGAAAAAAGAACCAGGCCCAAATAGCTGCAATGGGCTTACTAAACATTTCAATTAGAAATCATACCAATTCTCTACAGTCTCTTCCAGAAAACTGAAATAAAGAGAAACTTTCTAACTCATTCCATGAGGCTGGCATTACTCTCCTATCTAACCCAGATAAAGACTTTAAAAGAAAGAAAAAAACACATATCAATATCACTCATGAACATGCATATAAAAATCCTCAACAAAAAATTAACAAATCAAATCCAACAATGTATAAAAATATTCACCATGACAAAGTAGAATTTACTCTAGGCATGAGAGGCTGGTTCAACTGAAAATGAATTAATGTAATCCATCACATTAAAAGGCTAAAGAAGAAAAATCATATGATCATCTGATATGAATAGGTGCAGAAAAAGCATTTCACAAAATCCAACACGTATTTATAATAAAAATTTTCCTCAACTTGATAAACATCTAGAAAGAAGCCTACAGCTTACATCATAGTTAATGGCGAGGCACTAGATGCTTTTCTCCTAAAGACTGGGAAAAAGGCAATGATGTTTGCCTTCAACAGCTCTCCCTTATGTAATAAGAGATGAAAAAAGAGAAGAAAAAAAAGATACACGCATTGGGAAGGAAAAAGAAAAACAAAACTCCTTTTTTTCAGGTGATAGGATATGAAGTTGACAAAGAAGAAAAACTAAGTGACCTTGGGTTTGGAAATGATTTTTTTTTTTTTTTATACAATACCAAAAGCACAATAAAGGAAGACGATAATTGACAAGTTGGACTTTATTAAAATTAAAACTTCTGCTCTGCAGAAGACACTGTAAAAGAATGAGAAGACATCCACAGACTAGAAGAACTATGAGCCCTATTGTCATTATGGACTTTAGTTAGAAATAATATAGCAACAGTGGCTCAGCAATTTTAACAAATGGATCACAAATGCAAGATCTTAATAAGAGAAACTATGCATGTGTATATGTGGTGGGGGGGGTGTAGTATATAAGAACTCCTTGTATTATCTGCTCAGCTTTTCTGTAAACCTAAAATTGTATTACCTAAAACATAAATGTATTATTTTTTTTAAAAGTCGGCCATATTCTTTGATTATTTCTGAAAATTATCTAGAGTTGATTCTGTGCTTTCTATATAGAAAGTGATATAAACTTACTAATGATAGTTTTATTTCTTTACAAGTCCTTATATCTTTTATTTCCTTACAACTATATGTAGCTATGCGATGTTGTTGAGCAGACTTAGAGATAGCAGACTTAGAGAGACTTTGTTGTTGCTCCTGAAGGTGTATTTCTAACCTGTCACATTTCCTATATGGGCTTGGCTTAAGACTACTTCCTCTTTGATTTCTCTTATCTGCAGAAGTAATTGAAATGTGTTGCATAAAAATTCTAGGAGCATGCTATCTGGGAGGATTGGCATAAGAATATAAAATAACATTGAAAAGTGTTCTCAAAATAACTAAAATAAGTTCCAATGGCACAAACCAGATATATTGGTAGAAAATCTATATGTTGAGTTTTAAATTTTATCCTTAAGCATATGTGAAGGGTTATTTATACAAAGAACAAGAATTATAAATGTCTTTTATTCATGTACTCCTGACATCTTAGCCTTCCCCTGAGGTGCCTTGCCTCTTCCCTTGCCCTTTGGTCTAACACACGCTTTCTCTCTCTGTGGGTGTTGGCTGAAAGGCCATTTCTTCAGGAAGCCCTTCCCTGGCTTTCTAGAGTGGGTTGGATGGCCCTGTTTTACATTTCTCTTGCATCCTGTTCTTTCCTTTTTGTAATAGGCATCACATTTATATGATTGTTCAACTTAACCACATGACTGTAAATTCCAAGAGGACAAATGGAGTCCCCATATTTTATTTCTTTCTATATCCCCAGTGCCTAGAACTGTTTTTGTTTAAACTGAGACTCAATACACAGTTGTTCAATGAATTAATGAATAAATAGGAACATCTCCTTTAGCAGCAACTGTCCCTCCAGGTTGGAAGACACTGGAGTCCCTTCGGCATCCTTCGTTGAAGACAAAATAAGAAATAACGATCCGTCTGCATTGTTGCCAAAAAGATAGAAAGTAGAATGACTGAACTGATACTAAAAGTTAATTAATAGATTCAAAGACATTTTGTTTAGATGACAATCATTTATAAACTTATTATTTGATTACTTTTAGATTATAAATCCTTACTAAAGAACATAATGGGTGCCTCGGTGGCTCAGTTGGCTAAGCGTCTGCCCTTGGCTCAGGTCACGATCCTGGGATCCTGGGATCGTGTCCCACATCGGACTCCCTGCTCAGCCTGCTTCTCCCTCTGCCCCACCCCCCGCGTGTGCTCTCTCTCTCTCAGGCTCTCTTTTTTTCAAATAAATAAATAAAAGCTTAAAAAGAATGTAATGTGCTATAATACTCATCTCAGAGTTCCTCAGAATTTGATATTCTTTCAAGAATATTAAAAGATATAGTTTACAGACGAGATCAAGTATTTAAGAAATATTTGCAAGGCCACCAAATGGGCAATTTATTCTCTTCTCAATGGCAGTTCTCAGTTCCCTACATTAACATTATATTCTAGAATTGCATGTTACCATGTAGTCAATGTGCGTAAGATGTCAAACAAAATGTCAAAATAAATAGTGGTGAAAAAAATGGAGAGAACAGTAATTCATCATTAGTTCTTATACCTGTAAGTGATGTGTTTGTGCTGCCACTTCTGTCCTGTTAATGCATATCGCTTTCGACGAACATTAAATTTGGAGCTACCTCTTGTCTGGTCAGGTACACCACATCGAGGCTTCTTCATCCAGCTGCAAAAAGCAGTATTTTCCAGTTATTTACCAACAACCCTAATCGTGAATTTCAAAAGGAAATCAATGGAGAAGTTAATCTATGGCAGTGGTAATGAAAATGGGAAAACATAAAGAAGAAAGTGATCAGTTTTCTTGCAATTTGAATCTAAGTAGAAAGCAGATTTTGTCCCCGAAAGATCAAGAATCACTGGTTTGGAATTCAGCTCTTTTAGATATTTTTTCTTTCTCTAATTCATTTTGAGCTTACTGTAGAATGAGGTCCTCTTAATCTTCCAACTAGAATCTGTTTTTCATAAGATTTGAGACCCTGGGTAAGTAACTAATTCCTAGTCTCATTCATAAAATGAGACTTTTAAAAATAGAGTTTCAATAACTCTAAACTAAACTAAAACTAAAAATAGACTAAACTAAACTAAACTAAAAATAGAGTTTCACTAACTCAGGTTTAACATTGAACAATTTAAAAAATATATTACATGTCCTTACATTTCAGGATTTGAGAGGGTATATTCTATTCTCTCTTCTAGCTTACATAGAAGTAAATTATTCAAATAACATTTGCCTTTCTCCATTTTTTTCTTCTTTTCACTTTGATCACTACCCCAATTTACAAGTAACAACCATTTGTTAAATCAGTAACTAATAACCAAATTCAATGTTTAATTTTTTTTCTGCATTATGAGGTGTTAGCATCACACAAACAAGGTTTACCATAAGTGTATTAGGAAAATAACATGCTGTTTTTTGATTTATTGATTTTTAATACTTATATAAATACAGTCATGGAACTTCTTTTATACAGAGTCTCATTGGTCAAATATAATATTTTCTGTGTAGTCTCACTTCTTATCTAAGAAGAAAGATTTTCATGATTTTGAGTAGTGTTTCTTTGGTGACTCATAAAATGGCTTTATGATTCATTAGCACATTTAATTTAACAATTAACAAAGCTAGTGCAAAATCTTCATGGTGCTATATTCTTCAGAAAGTAGAAATGAGAAAAGAATCAATTTTTGCTGTATTTCATCAAATACTTTATAATTTCTTTACTCTTTAAATGGAAAATAATTGACTATAGAGATGACTATCTAAAGATATCCATTTTGTGAAAATGAAAGAAATAATTTCTATATTACATGGATAAATCAGCTAATTAGCTCTAATACACAATAATAACTTGAGACAACAATGAAATCATGACTTTTGCTTTTTAAGAAAGATGACACTTTTACCATAAGTACTGAAAAACGTCTCTCCTTTTTTATTCCGCCTCTACACTGCAGACATTGCGGTTACCAGACTTAACAAATCCCATCCTAGTTTATAATGCATTGTGGAGTTACTTCAGAAAATCGCTTTCCCTTTATTAAAGTCTCCCAACTCCTAGGAGGCTATATGGTCCTATAGAATTGAATTCTGTAGAGTTGAGAATGGAGATCTTCTATTTTTAACTAATATTCCAAGGGCATTCCTTAACCACTTCATTTGAGAGACATTTCACTAGACTGTAAACACTCAAGGGTAGGGGATCTATATACTCCTACTACCTTGCACAACCCCTGGAATATAAGAGATATTCAATGAATAAGTGGATAGGGACACTTTGTATTTTTAAATGCAAAATCATTAATTTTTATTACATATTGTAAGATACAGATATAGATTAAACTAGCAAATATTACACATTGGAGGGGTTATTATGATTTAAGTGGCTTTTACACATGTGTATTCATTAATTATATTCTCAATAAAAATTGTAATATTCCTAAGGCAGGTTTTTATGCTTATTTATCTCACCAAAAGCACTAAGAGAATAAATAATATATAGTTATTAAATATGAATAAATTTACGAAATGTGAGAAGTGATTATATGTACATTTTGCTAAGAAAAATATTTAAGTTAGCACTCTGGGAAAAGAAATAATTTTGAAATGGATAATGGGATGAAATTTGGCAAAAGAGAATTACCTACTATCGGGATAAAATGTATTGCCAATGAGGACATATTCTCTAAAATTACTTTAATAATCAATAAAATTTAAAAAGGAAGGTAACAATTGAAAAGAAAATTTTTATTAAAATATATTTCCATTTTAAACTATGCATATGTTGGATCTAGTAAAAATTTTTTTCAGTGAAGCATTGTATGTTCCAAAGAATAGGGTTTTTATGGATGAGTATTAGATTCTTGTGCTGAAAGATATCTCTGCCGAATTCTTTATGTATTTCCTAGGCTGTTGCCCATTAAATATGTATATTTTTTCTTATGTTCCAACTTCTTCATTTATTTACTCATTCAGTCCTTATTCATTCATCCTGTAATATTTTTCGGCTTTTATAACATGCTAAGAGATATAAAGAAAAAGTGTGACTAAAAAGATAAACAAGGCAAGAAGCCCTTGTTGAGTTCACTCTGTAAGGCAAGACATGCATGATTTAAAAAAATTACTATACAATGGCTTAAGTGCTAACATATCTCTGTCAAGATACCCTGTCATTATTTCTAATTTTACATGTAATAAAAAATTATGATTTTCCTACCCAGGTTTGTACCAATTCCTCAGATGCTTTATTTCAGCCAGAAGTTTTAACACCCAGGTGACATTTCCACTGCTCTCTCCTCACATTTAATCTATCAGAATATAGTCTCTTGCTTCCAAAATTTTTCTTCCCTCTCTCACTAATGCCATCCTTCTCATTCCTAAAGATAAATCTTCCCAGAGCACAGATGTGTTCTCTATATGTTATGGGTAGGAAATGCTTATATAGAAAGAATCTGATTCAGGCTTACTTAGGGAGGATCCCCGCCCCCCCTTTCCAAGATCCACTCAGGTTCCTACAGACCTAAACCTCTCTCTGCCTTCGTATGCAGTGACCTCTGTCTGGCGTAACTTCCTCTTGTTTCACACTGAGAATCCTAAACATCCTTCATTATTCAACTCACGGAGCTACATTTACCATCCCAACACAGTATGGATTATACTATGTGTTTGGATTTGTATCTCTATCTTCTACCAGCGGAATCAAGGCAGAGAGCCAGGAATGGGGCCCGTACCCAGTGAAGTGTCTTCAGTAAGCAAATGAAGCAAATGAATTGAGTCTGCATGTCTTTTTTGTTCATGTTGATCTCCCTTACTGCCCATGTTTCTTGAAGACTTTGTAACTCTTCCCAGGTGTGTGCCTTGAACAAATGCTTATTGCATGGACATTGTGTAGGTATTTTTATGTAAAACTAAATCATAAAGCAGGTGACTTAAGTGTAAGAAATAAACATAAGAACAGGAATAATCTAATATTTATCAGTAATTTAATGCAAATGACTCTTAATAAGGGTTGGTTGAACTGAGAATACTCTATGTTAACTTTGCCAATATTTGCATCCAAATATTCTGGCAGAGAGATATTAGCAGGTATTATTTATCAAATTATGCAAAATCCCCAAAATATGATAGAAGCACATCAAGCCGCTGAATATGACACACAGTATTTGAGCTAAATTGGCCGTGGGGCCTTCTATGTGACTCTAAACATTTAAATCATTCTTTAATTTCATAAGGGGTCAGGTTCTTTCTACTACAATTTTTAAAATTCTTGGTGGATAAAAATAATTAGTGTTTAACGACTCATCAATGAATTGAATGTCTAATACTAAAGGTAAAGTTGGTATATTAATATTATTCAGGTAGAGTCTGACACTGGGATTTCTTCCTAGTTATCATGCACCAAGTATTAGTTGTATTCATATATCAATCTGATAAAACCCATATATACTTGTACACAAGAGTGCAAAACTCTACATGTACAAGTAGAATTGATTGATTGTTTCACCTCAGGTTAACAACTATATCACCTGATTGAGCGCTATTTTCAAGCAGTGCTTTTGTGAAAGTACCATTGCTAAAACACACTCATTTTTCTGCATGTCAATACATAGCCCATATACAAGTGCTTCTTTACTGACTCATTTGCCAAGAATTTTAAGTTGGCATTCCAAAGGAAACAAAGACATGGGAATGGGCACTGGGTTTGGGAGGGAGATACAAGGAAGTCATTTTGTAGTTTTAAGGTGTAAATAATGGCATTACCTCAGTTTGCATAAATGTAATACTGATAGTCAATACTGACTTAATTGTTTAGAACCCAGAACATTCTCAGATTAGTTGGGCACGGGGTGCCTGGGTGGCTCAGTGGGTTAAGCCTCTGCCTTCAGCTCAGGTCATGATCTCAGGGTACTGGGATTGAGCCCCGCATTGGGGCTCTCTGCTCAGCAGGGAACCTGCTTCTCCCCTCTCTCTCTGCCTGCCACTCTGCCTACTTGTGATCTCTCTCTCTGTGTGTCAAATAAATAAATAAAATCTTTAAAAAAATTAGTTGGGCAGATCATTAGTAATTTCTTTAACTGAACTCAGAAAGGAAAAATATCTGACATCAATGTTTTTGAGAGGAGTAATACTGTAAAAGTTAGGAGCAGGGATCCTAGGGCCAAACGCTAGGGCTCCCAACCCAACTCCACCAGCTCCCCAGCCGTGGGCTAGTGGTCTGGCTACTATTTCTTTCTGTTTCTCCATTTCCTTATCTAGAAAATGGAAGTGATAATATTATTGAATTAATGTGAGGATTAAAGCAGTTAAATCATGTGAAACACTTAGAACAGTGCCTGGTAAATAGCAACTGCTATGACTATTAATTTATCATAATTATTATTATTTTACAAACATCAGGAAGCAGCTGTACTAGTAGCAGAAGCAGCAGCAGTAGCAACACACTGATAATAACACGTTTTAGATCACCTTGACCTATGTGTTAACATCCCTTGTTATGCAAAACAGGGATATCCTGGTATTTTGATAATACAGATACCAACAGAGACACAATCTTCTGTTTTATGTAAATAAAGCAGCTGCAAACTTCTAAACAAATTTGCAGTAATAAAAGCCACTATATATGAGTGTCATTGGTTTCAGTAATTTTTTAATCTTTTTTATTTCTTTTCTTTCTTTTATTATTATGTTAGTCATCATACAGTACATCATTACTTTCTGATGTAGTGTTCCATGATTCATTATTTGCATTTAACACCCAGTGCTCCATGCAATGCATGCCCTCAATAGCCATCACCGGGGTAGGGGGGCATCTGGGTGGCTCAGTAATTAAGCGTCTGCCTTCAGCTCAGGTCACCGTCCAGGGTCCTGGGATCAAGCCCCACATTGGGCTCCCTGCTCCACGAGAAGCCTGCTTTTCCCTCTTCTGCCCCCCCTGCTTATGTTCCCTCTCACTGTCTCTCTCTCTCTCTCCCTCTCTGTCAAATAAATAAAATAAAATAAATAAAATATAAAATAAATAAAATAAAATAATAAAATATCCACCACCAGGCTCATCCATCCCCTTACCTCACTCCCTTCTAAAACCCTCAGTTTGTTTCCAGGAGTCCACAGTCTCTCACAGTTCATCTCCCCCTCTGATCCCCACTCCTCTTCATTTTCCCTTCCTTCTCCTAATGTCCTTCATGCTATTCCTTATGTTTCACAAATAAGTGAAACCATATGATAATTGACGTTCTCTGTTTGACTCATTTCACTTAGCATAATCCCCTCCAGTTCCATCCATGTCAATGCCAAAGTTGGGTATCCAACCTTTGTGATGGCTGAGTAATATTCCATTGTGTATTGGTCTCTGGAAGGGCATCTTGGCTCCTTCCACAGTTTGGCTATTGTTGACATTGCTGCTATGAACATTGGGGTGCATATGGCCCTTCTTTTCACCTCCTCTGTATCTTTGGGGTAAATACCCAGTAGTGCAATTGCTGGATCATAGGTCAGTAACCCTTTTTGTTCTTGTTTTTTTTTTTTTTTTTTCAAGAGTTGGGTATTCAAGTCAAACATATCAGGCCTCTGATTGTATGACTGTCAAGGATGCCTTCAGGTTGAGTCCACTCACCTGGTGCCCCCAGAGTGGGGCTATAGGAAGACAGTATTTCAATAAAAAGCATACTATGGGAGTGGTGTCCCTTGGAATTGGAGTGGTACCACACAGGGGCTCTGTATACATATACCTGTTTTAACCAGGGAGAAAAAAAAACCTCACAAAATTGTATCTCCTGCCTTATGGATTAGTAATGTAAGAAAATGTTCATCTGCATAATTAACAGGTTTCTATCCTCCAGACTCTTCCATGTTCTAATGGAAGGTATGAGTAATAGCTACTATTTACAGTTGCCCCCAAAAGATCATTTTACAAATTTTTAAAAATGCTAATTTTTATGAATTTAAAAAAATCCTTAGGTTTTATTTGTACTCAGAGAACAAAGTCCAGGAGTCGTGAAGAAGATTTTCTAAAGTAAATTAGCTTAGGGCTCAAAATGTAGCTAGGATGACAGCTCACTCGGGTCCACAGTTTCTTTTTTCTATCCACTCATGAACGACCTCCATGGACACAGCTTATTCACAAAGCTGAAACTGCAGTTAGGGTACTTGAAAACCTGATCACAGAAAAGAGATGTAATAAGCCTCCATGATCTGCAACGTGAAGAAAAAGCTCAGCTACTGTCAGCTCTCGTTTAAGCTTTCCCCTTTCACCTTCTAGAGGGGGAATGGGGCTGATTTAGCTAGCAGCCACCATTCTGTAGTTACCAAAATAAGGACTGATCCATCCTATAATGTTAAAGTGTTTCAAACCTATTGCTATAATCAGAAATAAAGAAAAAGAAATTTAATTACTGACGAACCTATCTTTTATACCTAGATTGAAAGAGTCTTAACTTGATAATTTAGACAAATGACTGAAACTCATGAAACATACTGAAAATTAAGCCTCAAAGCTTATGGTTCTTGATATAACTAAATAAATATTTCAATTCTCAAATTAGGAGAATTCAAATACACTGGGGTTTCATAATAATTATTTGAAAAAAGCTATACATTCTGTCTTAAATTAATTTTAACTAAGATGAATTAATAAGCAGAATAACTCAGATCATCCTATATATGTGTGAATATATGTCTATATTTGCATATTTATGTGTGCACACATATATGTGTATGTATATGTATATACATATATATGGAGGGAGATAAAAAAGAAAGTTCACCTTAAAATGATATCTCATCAAGCATGCTTCAATGCATGATAATATGCACACATAGAAGATGAATTAAAATTTTAAAATACTACCATTAATGTTGTAAAAACACATTAGCCTTATTTTTATTACTGCCTTGCTACCTTTTTCCCTCCATGCTAAATACAATCTTTTTTTCATGCATAACATAAATTGCTTCACTTACTAAGGAATTTAAGTAAGCTTGCTTATAAAAATTAGCTAAGCAACCCACAATTTTGAACCATTGTAACAGATGATAACGAGCTCATTTTGGGGTAGGGGAGTAAAGTATTTCTTCCTGTCTCTCCAACACCAATGCTAACTGATATGAAAGCAATATAATAAGCCATTTAAGGTAATACTTAAATTTGTCACTGGAAAATGGTTAACTTCTTCAACATAATATAGGAATCACCACAACTGCATCATTACTTTTAATTACTCAAGAACTACAGACCGAATGCATCAAATGTCTGTCTGACAAAGGAGGACATAATTTAATTTAAAAACAACTGATCTTGACAAGAGCCTACAATTAGATAAAAGTTTATAGCATCTGAAAATGATTCTTAAGCCATTTATTTTAATACTGAGGAGTAATTTTAGGTCTATAATTGTAGTCCATATTTTATGTGATAAGGTTTAGATAAAAACTCATACTTTATAATTTGGCTATGTAAAATAATAGAGTACAATTTCAGCAGGGATTGTTACGACACATTTGAGATTATAAAAGCACAGACAATTGCTTAAGTAGCATGATTATGGGGATTATACTTCCAAAAATAGTACATTATTTGAGCTGAGTACCCTGCGCAACACTACCTCGGGACTGGGGATACATCAGTGGAAAAAAACAGACAGGAGGCCGATGAAGCCACAGGGTTTCTAGTCTGAGTGACAATGTGGGTGCCAGAGGGGACAGAGGAAGCAGGGTCACCTAGGAAGGAACGGTGATGAAGGTTTAATAGAGCTTTAGTGGGCTCACCTAAAAATAATACTGTATGTAAAGAAAAAAATGCATTTCCAATTCAAAACAAAAAAAGAAAAAAGAAAAAAAACTGACTTAGAACAAAGTTTGGTTAAAGAAAACCAAACAAACAGACCAAAACACTGGTTGGTTTTAAATTAAAGGTTGCCTATATAGTTGATCTTTTCTCTACAATGCTATAATTCACAGAAATTCTACTTTAACTCCTACACACCGACACAATCATTTCTCCTGGTCTGGAATCTTAGCCACTGTGTGGCAGAAAAGGACATGGGGTCTTTTTCTGGACCTCTGCATTTGACATTGTCCTGCTGGAGAACAACTAAAAACCGTTCAGACCCTTTCCACCTAAGCAGCCTAAATAAATCCTGCACATTCCTCTTCCATCATCTCCTGACAAAGACCTTTTTCCAGCTATCTCAGGAAATCAAACCTATCCATCTTGAGTGCTCCCAATGACCAGCAGGAGCTCTCAAAACGGAGAGGAAACACAGATGCCACCTTCTATAGAACTCCGCTTTCTGAATTTTAATATCTGGTAATAAGCAGATTCAAAGGAATTTGTTTCCCAAGCTCTCAATTTATTGTGTTTTTAAAAACTGTGTCATATGGCCCAAGAAAGTGAATCAGAAGATAACAGCTCTGCATTAGGGAGCACAAAAGCTGTTTAGAGCACTTTGTAAAATGTTGGGATTAGAAGTATGATTTAAAGGGAATTCTGTACTTTACGCAGCAACAAAATGTAGGACTTGTGGGTTTGCTTATTAACTTAATAAGCTATCTTTAAAATTAATTTATAATTGTAATAAAAATTAATTTAAAGCTATATTTATTTAGGACACTCTTAATGGCGAATTGCAATGAATAGAGGGCAGCAGGTTCAAAATATCCAAGTTCTATTCCCAATACTAATAACAAGTTCCTCATTCTTGCAGAATGCATTATATTAATTCTTGGTTCTATTTTTCCCAGATGGTATACCAAAGTTAATATTTATCTATCTCTTAAAAATGCTAGGAGAGGTAATTATATTTATTTTGCCAAACTGCTTTAATGTTTAATCTTCAAGCCTTTTATCATGTACTCATCCTATCTTGATGAAATAGAAATTATATGACTAATATCATGCTGTAAGTATTAGAAGGCAAAATATAATTTTTAAATTACATATTGAATTAGTTTAATATATAAAAAGTATATATATCTGGACTAAGTAATTTCAAGTATTTAAGGTTTAAAAAGAAAAATAAATGTGTCATTTCTTGAGATCCACAACATGGTATAGTAGAAAGTTCTCCAACAAAACATCAAAAGGTCTGGATACTGCAACTCCTCTGGACTTCACTTAGCCTTTGACTTTCAGTTCCTTTATTTGAAAAATTAGAGAGAAAAATGTATCCTTGTCTTGCCTACTGTGGAGGGTTGATGTATGATGATCGTATTAAATGATGTAGTAGATTTACTTCCGAGTATCAAGGACTCGATAAACACAGATGATTCTTCCCTGCACTCAGAGAATTAATCACTTCCTCCTTTGCTGTCCAAAAACAATAATGCCGTTTCATAATGTTGCAGAACTTATGGTGTACCTGTGCTAAAATAATTTGTGATTATGTCTAGCTACACAGTTAACCTGGTTCCTCTGAAGAAGAAATTCTGTCCTCCGATCTGTATATGCCTCTTTCACAGGTGAAATGCCCAGTAATGAGTCATTGGTTGAATAAATAAATGAACAAATGATTGATGAATCAATCCATAAAATCACAAATATTATTAAAGAGTAGAAACAATCCATTTGCTAATCAAAAATTAAAAGGAGAGACTTTCAGTGAACCTCTTCTTGATTTAACTCATGTAGAGAATGACCACAAATTGGAGGCTAATAAACGGTTAAGTGACTCTCTAACACCCTTTCCCTCAAAAAGAGCCTGGATTTGTATTGTGTCCCATTTTCCTTAATATTCCTATTTCGGCCAATTTCAAGCTATTGATATCATGTCACTTAACAGGGAAGAGATGTGTCCAGTATGTCCACACCAGCAGCACAAGCCGGCTCCAACGCATCACTGACGTAGCTCTTCCTGCAACAGCTTCAACTGTACATTTACTCTAACTCTCATTGTTCCTTTCTCCCCTCTTATTCTGAAGAAGTGTAGCTAAAGTCAAGTGAGTAAATTTGACTCTGACAAACCTGACGTCCTAGGGGAGGAGGGTTGAGACAGGTTAAATTCCAAAGAATAGGACAAATTGTTCCACTTGTGGTTGAACTTTCTCAGACTACTAGGTTTGACTCAAGGACCACAGAAAGAAGAGTGTGGATGCCATTACTTACTCAATTGTGTTTCTGTCCACTTTTCCTGTCATGTTAATGCCGTAGAACTGCTGCATGGCAGCTAAGGCGGCCTGCATGGTCTCCGCAGAGCGCAGCACCGACATTCTGGGGTCAGTTGGTGGAAGATAGCCGTACTTTTGTAACCAAACCTGCAATAAGGACAGTTCCTTTTAGATCAACCTCATAATTGAACCATAACTGTACAGTAATTAAGTTATGTCCACAGTGGATCTTTAAACATTATTTCCTCTACAAGGGCATGTATTAAGATTTTTTACCTCTTTTTAACATCTATTCTGTAGTTTAATATAAATTTGGTTTTTGTTGTGAATCTTTCTAGCACCCCTACAAACACTAACTGAAAAGAAAAGTTAGTCATTTGTTGCAAGCTCACTATTTACAAGAATACTCAATATTGGATAAAAGAAACAAATAAGATGATCCCTGCCCTCTAGGAACTCAACTTCCCCAAATAAGGAATGATACCTTTTCAACAATAACCCCAAAGAGACATCTGTGCTAAAAGGGGTAGTTAATGTGCATAAGCTGCATCTAAAATGCCACTTTCCTGAACAACTAACCAAGGACTGCAGCCATCATGAGTAACATCAACAATATAGACCATATTATTCTGTCATGACATTTTGAGTACAAATTTCATGCAATTGATCTATTCATTTGTAGCTAAATGCCTTCCAGGGAGGTAAGTGTTTCTCATGTAAAGAATAGTCTTTCATTTATTTAAGGTGACTCACTTCAATCCAAACAATGTAAGTGACCAAACTTCTCATATATAGATGAAATCAGACTATCTTGGTAAGTATGTTTGGGTCTCTCTTTAAGGATCTCATGTTTTTTATTCTCCTCTTCTCCAGAGAAGGGAGATCTGTGTGGATAGTGAGAGAAAGAGGTCAGAGTTGAGCTCACATCCCAAGCGTGATTGTAGCAACAATTCAGTCATTTAACGTCAGATTTTCAAAGTAACCTAAAACTCAGGGTATTTGGGGAAAACAAAATTTTTCAGCAGAGAGAGGATGCTTTCCAGTTCTACCATTCTATGCATTCATTTTAAATGTAAAATCATATGCTCAGCTCCTAACCCATCCTTCTGTCCCTTACCTCAATCTTCCATGGGGCACTAAGATTTCTTTAAGTGCATGAACTGCCTGTCAAATTGAGAAAGGCCAAGTAATTCTGCCTGTCACACAGAATAGAAGCTGTGCTATTTAATGGAAGGTACTCGCCAGTATGTATTTCCCTCTCTACCTGGCTCTATTCATCATACCAATGATGATCCCATCAAGTTACAGCTTTCCCCCAATACCTGATCTACCTCCACTATGACCTGACAACTAACAGAGAGGAGTGCTATTTTCTCAGTGAAAACAAACAGTAATTATATAAATTAAATTTCACCAGAAGAGACTGATATTAAATATACCAAAGTTTTAACATGTGAAAAAACAAGGTGGAGTCTTTCATAGTTTTTCTAAGAAAATCATGCCCCCAGAAGTTCAGAACTATAAGCACAACCCTTTGAAAATAATATAAAACATTTATTCTAAAACTATTTAAGAGATCAACAATACCTCACTGTCAGGAAGGTTTACTGTTAAAACTCCATCTAGTAAACTCATCTACCACATAATGAAAACATGCCAAGACACTTCTCTCATCTAATCTGTAATGAATAGGGTTCCAGGGAAGACACATATATTCAGTTACCTAGTCAACAGTGCTGCAGTCTGAAATAGATTCCATTTGTTTTCTGAATGAAGGAGACAAGATTTTACTGGCAATGTATTATTTACTAGAAAATTCAATACCTATTGTAATGTAATTTCCCCCAAATTAGAAGATTTCATCTTGATATTTAGCAGTATACATGCACTAATATTCTGAAATTGAACTCTTTTTTCCCATAACACTTTGTTTGCATTTATTTCTTACTTGTTAGAGAGCTGACTTGTTGCTAGGTTACTCATGGGTGCTCAGCTACTGGCAACCACGTCATTTATAGTGACAGCAAAGAGAAAACTGTTAATAATAAACCCTATGATTTATATACAAATAGAAAGACTATAAAATATATAAATTTTAGATGGATAGTGAAAAAAGCATGTTATAAAAATGCATATTGATTTATGCCTTACCCTTTCAAACAAATGAGTTGGAATAATAAAAAAAAATTGTGATTTTTCTTCAAGTTCTCTTTTCTATTATGCCATTTACCATGAAAGTCAGTTTTTTCTAAATGACCAAGAAGTGGATAATTCTTTTTAATTGAAAAATATCAGAAAACCTACAGGACCTACCATTTTATAGTCAAAATTTGTTTTGTCTGATAACTGTCATTGAGATTATAGGCCACCTTGAGTTTATCTTTCTTAATATCATTGTTATTTGTTAATCAAGAAATCTCTGACATCATCAAGAACTGACCAGGAATAATTCTCAATGGAAAGCTGCAATGCATCTTTCCACCAAACAGTGGAAAATCAAGCATATCAGTGTCATATTAAGAGTATGAAACCAGCAAGCCATCAATAATATTTCTTATTAAAACAAAAACTGCTGTGGACAATCATACTCTAGGTGGCTATAAAAAACAAGTAATTATACCTACAATGACCCAAAGTATTAATTTGATCCACAGTGCTTCTTTACATCTACTACTCAATATGGAAACTGCAGGGAAAAACAAATAAATAAGTGCCTAAATAATCTTAAACACTGAGAGAGGATAGTCTCTTCAGTTTGTTTTTGTCTTATACTAATTACTTCTTTAAGTGTCCACACCACAGAATTCTGAGAGTCTGGTCATTTTTTATATGATAGAGAAAAGAAATGTGTACCAAATAGCCCTACATAAGATGCTAATGCTGCTTGGAGGAGACTAAGTTGGTCACTATGGTGATATAAAACTGACCAAATACAAGGTGGACAGGACACTCAGCATCAATGGTAGAAAACCACTATGGCCAAAATCCCTAGAGCTTTGTAAATGCTGACTCTTAAGTCACCAATGAATGAAGATCAGGTATAAACAGTGTATATCAGATTCAAACCCCTGTCCATAATCATCACAGAAGTATATGAAACTTTGTTATAAGCTACCTTATTCTATGTCTATAGAACAAAACCCTTGTATTACAGAAATAGAGTATGGTGGGTAGCCTTGGCACCCTATCAATCTAGAATAAAGAAAAGGAAATTTTAAAAATTGAAATATGAAGACTCAATCTCACAAAACAAATTGAGGGTTGCTGGGGGGTAGATGGGTAGAGAAAGTGTGGCTGGGTTATGGACATTGGGGAGGGTATGTGCTATGGTGAGTACTGTGAAATGTGCAGGCCTGATGATTCACAGACCTTGTACCCTTGGGGCAAATAACACATTATATGTTAATAAAAGTAATTAAAAAAACAAAAATTGAATTATGACATAAGTGACATAGAAAACCTGTCTCTTTTCTATTAAATTACAACCCTTAATATCTTATTTGATAGAAAATTAAATTAAGTATACAAAGTAATATTTGAAGGTACACCTTATCCCTTGAAGACTATACCAGAGACTTCATACTTTAGACTTCATAGACTCCTCATACAGTGTTATGAAATAGATCCCTGTTTTTTTTTTAAGATTTTTATTTATTTATTTGACAGACAGAGATTACAAGTAAGCAGAGGAGATAGGCAGAGAGAGAGAGGAGGAAGCAGGCTCCCCGTCGAGCAGAGAGCCTGATGTGGGGCTCGATCCCAGGACCCTGGGACCGTGACCTGAGCCGAAGGCAGAGGCTTTAACCCACTGAGCCACTCAGGCACCCCTAGATCCCTGTTTTAAACATTGTTTTTAAAATATTGCTCTCCTGGGTAACAGGAAATAAACTTGCCTTCTGAGATTGCTTGTCTCTTGATATATACATATGTATACACACACACACACACACACACACACACACACACACATTTTAGTGCTCTCAAATGCATATAATGGATAATTAAGTAATTAGTAATTAAGGAATGATTTCCTCATGTATGCATCTGGGGGAAATGATGTTGAATTTGCAGGTTTGATGTGAGGATTGAGAATACATAAAGACACCAGCATTTTTTGCTCCATCCATCATATTATTATTTTATGTTTACTAATTGCTCTGAGTTCTTGAAATTATTCCTGCTCAGGTTAAGACCTGTCCTTGGAATGGGGCAAGACTGAAATTCAGATTAAGATGTAAGGAATCAAGAGTTGTGAGGAAAGATAACTTGTTTTTATTTTGTTTTCTTTCTTTTGCCCTCTTTTGCTTACTGGATGGACACATGCACTTGAGAGCACTGGAAAACTATCAAGAAACAGGTTTCTCTGGAGGCACAACTTGCCTCCTTTTACTGTCTGGGAGTTAGCCCATGTCATTATCATCAAAACAAGCAATCATGGGGCGCCTGGGTGGCTCAGTGGGTTAAAGCCTCTGCCTTCGGCTCGGGTCATGATCTCAGGGTCCTGGGATCGAGCCTCGCATCGGGCTCTCTGCTCAGCAGGCAGCCTGCTTCCTTCCTCTCTCTCTCCCTGCCTCTCTGCCTACTTGTGATCTCTGTCTGTCAAATAAATAAATAAAATCTTAAAAAAAAACAAAAAAAAACAAAAAAACAAGCCATCACAGAACCTCAAATTCGGCAACAGTGTCTAACCTTGAATTACCTTCCCTGTGTTACTAACATAATCAAATTATCTTGCTATTTCGGAGACAAAACCAATTTCCTGTACTTAGTGACCATTCAGATGGAGGAACGACCAGAAGAGTGAGGATCTCTGCAGAGTGAGGGGACTTACCAAGCCACGAAACGTAAACATTTACATATTCAATTCCGTGCCAATAGATATTGCCTTTACCAGACTGTAATATAAATACGAGGAGCAGGCATACAAAGTTTTAGTAAATCCCTTAAGAAAGAGTATCTTTGTCACTTAATACTTCATGTAACCATATTAGGAAAACCTGTGTTAATCGACTCAGCTATCCATACCATATATCAGTGTGGTATCCTGGAAGATGGTTATCAACAACAAAAGGAAAACATTAGCAGTTTTCATGACTAACACCAAATATAAACAGAGGATTTTTAGAATACATATTTTTATTTAGTCTCTCAGGCCAGTACTAAAATCTAGAGAAACAAATTTTCCTCCAGTTGTTAAAGCTAGTAAGTTTATCGATGCCTTAATAGAACATTAAGATACTCCTATTCATGGTGAATCACAAATGCAAGAAGCAGATTAAAATTCCATCACTAGCAGGACCCAACATACAGAGGAAACATCTTGAAATTTTTCCAAGAAGAATTTAAATAATTAAACTAATGAATTTACTAGGGCTGGTAAGGATATATTTTAGATATTATGGAAATTACTGGAGGTGAAGAAAAGAGGTATGGTTTGGAATTTTATTTAACTTGAAAAATCACTTTGCCAGACCACATGTCTATTTGTGACTGAGCCAGTAATTTCAGGTATAGCTCACTGCAGCTCATGTGTGGTGTGGCCAAATGCAAGGTCCACGGGCCCAGTGATCATATGATCCAAATTACAGCACTCAATATAGAAGGAAAAGGGCAGAGGTAATAGTTTTATTTCTAGTATTTACTTTATAGCATTTTATGGTATTTATTTAGAAACAATCACTTCAATTTACACAATTGTATAACTTTTGATTTGGGATGTCATTTTTAAAATTATTGAATTCATGTTAAATTTTAACATTATTTATTAACAAAAATATTTACATATATAATGATTAACATATATTCTGATACAATTAATTGACTTTCCTGATAACATAGACTGAAGGAAAGCATTTTTAATAGTTTTCAATATTATAAAATTATTTTCCCTCCTTTAGTATGAGACTTCTAAATGTTATTTGTTAAAATTCTATTATTAACTAAAATTAACAACTAAAAAGTGTCAATCCCCTATTTTGTATATTACCTATGGAGTTAGCAGAGGCTTAAGGACATTTTCCCCTGAAAATAGCATATATTTAATAGTTATAAAGAAGGGCAGGATTTAGGGGCTAAATTTTCTAGTCTGAAAAGTGGCTATAAATATGAATTATAACTACCTATTAACCAAAAAACTAAACTGATGTGGGAGTAGTCATTCAGAATTGGTCAAATTGAAAATTCATAGGATAAGTTAATGAGGCAGAAATTAGCCTTTCTGTTCATTCAAAAATCTAAATGGGTTCTAAATCACCATCGCATCCCTACCATGAATGAAGCAGTGTATGAAATTGCACACATAGAATTCAATTCTTTTAGAATTTTACTGTCTATTTAAATGGCTTCTTAAATGGAAATCAAACAGTGGAAGGACCAAAAGTTACGCCAGTGAACATCGAAGCAATCAAGAGACAACCTTCATTTGAACAAGGAGATGGAAAACAGCTGGATCATTAGTAAAACTTATAATGATCATGATGACCATATTTTTCACCTTAACATGAAATTCTCTAATTTATGATAGAAACTGAAAACTTAGGATATAAAGGCTAGGGAGAGATTTTCCATTCTGCATACGAGTGAACTGTAGTTGGTATTCCATAGCTATGGGAGCAAATCCCATCAAATAGTAATGGCTGAGCTCCAGTGATCAAACAAATAAACAAAAAACCCCACCAAACTAAGAAACAGAACAAAAACAAAAATAAAAACAGTTGGTTTTAATTGGGATTCTATCATATGCTAGTCATTGTACTGGAAAGTTCGAGTACTATGATATACTGGTCTCCTTATGTGTCTTTTATGGTTTTTCCTAAGTATGTTTTACATTTTTAAAGATGAATATATAGTGTACATGCACACACACATACATGCTGAAAAAACAAAACCAAAAAAACTCAAAAAGACAAAACTCAAGCAACAATGAACAACAGCAAGGCATCACCTTACCATCCCTAGTTTTTTGGGACAGAAATAATTACCAAAACAGTAACTACTTATATTAGTCATTAACATGATTCTATTTTATATTTAAATCACCTCACAAATCTAAATAGAGGAAAATTCTCCTCAAATCTGTGCTTCACTACACCAGTTGAGTGAAGTGCTGTACAAGGCATCCTGTGAATTTTCTAAAAGACATGCCCTAGAGCCTGAGTCAGGTAGATGATCAGCTCAACTCACCCTTACTTTCTGGGGGCAGAATATGTCTTACCAACACTAGATAATGAGGAGATTAATCTCAGGGTCTTCAAAGTTGGAGTACAATATGTCCCATTGAGATGGAGGCCCAAAATGCCACAGCATTTTATGTAATGTGTGCATCCACACATTTATGCATGAATACACTTATCTATAAAATAAGAAGGAATAAACTTCACTTTTATTTAATGTTCAGATTGATAGGGGGGCACTCACATGGACAGACATTTATTAATCACCTACATTCCAGCAGGTGTCTGGAAGGTGGAGGTAGAGTTCCACAGTGTGGGGGGGTTTGCAGAATCACCTGTGATAGCTTGATTCTAGCATATTATAACATACCACTATTTTTCTGTGACAGATTAAATGAATTTATGGGTTATATCTTAGAAGTAAAAATTTTAGAATACATTATGATATGATGGGGACTGACCAAAAGAATAGCCTGTACCATATATGTTTTCTGGTTATCTTACGAAAAAGTACTTTAAAGAGCTGTCAAACTTAAATAAGCTATGCCTTTCTTTTACAAAAAGACAACAGTGTTGGCTTTTTCTGTAAAGGGAACTGGCTGTAAATAGTATGCTACTCAATAGCTACTTTGAGAGTAATCTGTCTCGAGATGGAAGATGGAAAATTACTGTCTGAGTTTTACCAAAAACCTTTTCCATAATTGATGGGTAGGATTATAAAACGAGGCTCATGAGTTATAATCAGCTAATGATACAACTTTTTAAGCTGTATGTATGTTTCCTTATGAGGTGGTGAGGTGTCTTTTTTGGCCATTGTAATTTTAAACTGCTGTATTTCAAAGTGTTAAATCAATATTACAGTGCAGTCAGTCACAGAATTCTCCAAGATAATAATTAATGATAGTCTTAATAGCAGCAAAACAATATAAATACAATTAATAAGGAAAACAAAAATATTTTTAAATTTTAAATTTTATGACATCCTTAGCTCATCTTAATATTTCTATTTTAAGTATGTTTCACAATATATGCAAAGTTTAAGTACATCTGTTCATGAATAGAATTATAAATAAGAGAGGGTAAATTAAAAAAATTGATTGATGGAGATATGCAATCAAAGAGACCACTGATCTGATAGGAAGTATTCTATTTTTAAAAATGAAGCTACTTCCTTAAATTCTCTCCAATGTGATATACTTACTCTCCCTAAGGGATGAGAAGACAGTTTATCAATATCTATATATTACATTCTGACTGGGGCAATTCCCAAGTTCTTCCTTTTCCGTCATACACTATTGAAGCTACTCAAGTCCTATAGAATAAATCCCTTAGGGCATGCCTGGGTAGCTCAGTGGGTCAAAGCCTCTGTCTTCAGCTCAGGTCATGAGCCCAGAGTCCTGGGATCAAGCCCCGCATCAGGCTATCTGCTCAGTGGGAAGCCTGCTCAAAGTCCACCCTCCACCCAGCCTTCCATTCTGCCTATTTGTGATCTCTCTATCCAATAAATAAATAAGATCTTAAAAAAAAAAAAGAAGAAGAAATCCCTTAGAATGAATTCCAAGCATTTGTGATTTAGTCTCAAAGTATGCCTTTGTTGCTTTGTTCCATGGAGTTCTTTAGTCACACAGAAATTTGAGTCCCACTCCCAACAGACATCCATAAAAACAACAACCATTCCTTTACTGCCACCACGTACCAATTTACATGCATTATCTTTATCCTTTATAACACGTCTGTAAATTAAGGACTATTATCTGTTTTTAAAATGACAGAATACACCCCCAGAATGATTAAATAACTTGGCCAATGACGCACCAATATAAGAGGGAAGATCGGTATTTAAACAGAGATCTGACAGATACACACGCTTGGCTCTCTCTGTCATCCTAGGCTGCCTCTTGGACATGGAAAAGACCCAGCTGCCTGTCTGCATCCTGGGAAATCCTAGGAGACCTATTCACATTTCAAAACAAGAAGGCAGACCATCTGAAAATATATCTACAGTAACTGACAGTGTTCAGTTTTTATGCAAAAAAACCATCCCATTACACATCACAAAAGTATACCTTATTGTGGTTGCCTATGTTCTGGGTGTTTACACTCACTCCTACCTCCAAGGGCTTCTCTAATTACCAATGCAAAACAGGCTCGCACAGTCCAATCTGCCCAGGCCAATTAATATTCTTATTTCCATGCTAGAATATTTCATGTATGGCCACTTCACTTTTACAGTTTAAAAAAACCACTGTAACCCTCTTTGCCAGAGACTTACCCTTTCTTCATTCATTCTTTCACAGCACTTTCTTATTGTAGCCTTAATATTGCTAGTTAACTACATCTACACTTTCCTTGGTTATCTCTTCTATAATTAATCCTTCAAATACTATCTATGTGCTGATGACAGACCAATTTAACCCTCTAACCCTGACTTTGCCCTAATGCCAGGAGTGCCTCCGCACTGCTGTTTACACCCCCAATACAGAATTATCTTTAATTCTGCTTTTTCCTCATCATTCACATCTAATCCATCATCACTCCTTAGCTTCAACTTACCCTGAATGCAAACCTTATTTCTGCTAACACCTCTTTGTCTAGGACACTATCATTTATGACCCCAAATTACAAGATTCTCCAACTGGTCTCTGCTTTCAATTGCTACCTCTCTTGTCTCATCTTATTCATTCATTCATTCATTCTTTCTTTCTTTCTTAAAATAAAGACACATAACCTAAAATTTACCATTTTAACCATTTTCAATGTAACAATTCAGTGGCATTAAGTACATTACATTGTTATATATCCATCACCACTATCCATTTCCTGAATTTTTCATCATTCCAAACTAATTCTATATGCATTAAGTAAAAACTTCCCTTCTCCCAATTCTTGGTAACCACTATTCTATTTTCTGTCTATGAATTTGACTACTATAAGTAACTCATGTAAGTGGAATCATGCATTATTTATCCTTTTGCATCCGATTTATTTAATCTAGGATGTTTCAAGATTCATCCATGTTACAACTTGTAGTATGTAACATTTTTAAAGCTGAATAATATGATATTGCATGTATATATACCTTTTCATTTACCCATTGATCCATCAAAATTTTAGTTTTTCCTATCTTTTTGGATATTATAAAGGATGCTGTTATAAACACTGATCTACAAATGTCTTTTCAAATTCCTGCTTTCAGTTTTGGGGGGTATATATTTAGAAGTGGAATTGCTGCATTTTATGGTAAATCTACATAAAACTTTTTGAGGGACTTACTGTTTCCAGTGGCTTCACCATTTTACATTCCCACCAGTAATGCACAAGGGGGTCCAATTTCTCTTCTTCCTCAAAAACACCTGTTATCTTCTGTTTTTTTTTTTTTTAATTTTTCAAATAAGTGGTATGAATTAACTTTTTAAATGTAGATCAAAGAATATTATTCACTTGATTATAACCCTTCAGTAGTTTCCCAGTGACTTAATGTGAAACTCAAGTTCCTTACTGTGGCCAGCAAGTCCATGCACAGTCACTGTTGAATCTTTAACTTCTTTTCATAGTATCCCTTTTTAATATTCCAGGCATATGGTCTTTTTTAACTTATTTATTTATTTATTTTTTTAATTTCTCACCCAGGAACAGCTAAATTCTTTCCTGCCTTGGGGTACCGCATTTACCTTTCCCATGTATGAAATACAAGAATACATTTCTCTCTATCCTTTAAAATTTAGTTCAAATAAGACTTCTTCAAAAAAACCTTCCCTGACCCCACTTTACCACCACCAGCACCACGGAGCATCCTGTTTAAGTCCCTGACAGCACTTAGGATCACTTTGTGGTGGTGGCTTGGTTTACTTATATGTTTGTTCTTTATCTTCATCTATCTCTTTCAACATGATAGGCACAACACCTAGAACAATTTTATGAGCTGAAGTAATGGAATTACAAGGGCTAGATAAGTGGAGAACCCACTGGGTTGGGTTAACTATCCAATTATTCATTCTCCCATCACATATACAAATAGGCTCCAAATGTGAACAATAAATCTCAGCCCATCACATACATAGCAAAGGTTAGTAACTTCCAGGCACCTCAGAATAATTCTAGGAAATACGGACAAGGTAAAATATGAGTGACAGTTTGGGTCAATGTTAGAAAAGCACTTAGCAGTTTTCGTCTTTGCCTTTCCAGATTCAACTTCTATCCCCACACCTGGAGATGAAAATCAATGTGGAATTGTTTTTACAGCTTGAAAATTGCTTTCAGAAAAGTACTGATATTCAGTGTAAACAACGCACCAAGAGCTTACATTTATTAAGTCAGGTGCAGTGTTAATCTCCTTAATACGCTGGCTCATATAATTATCACAACAAGCCTGTAAGATGTATTATCTTCATTTTACAGATGAGGAAACAGGTTGAGAAGGGTTAATCAACTTGCTCAGGGCTATAGAGTAAATAAGTGATATCCAGGGATATGAGTCTCGGTGTGAATCTAGAATGGCTCTTATTCCTAGCAACTGTCAGGAAGCGAAGAAGCGTGAGTTCTTGATAAACTAGCCTTTATGGTATAAGATTAAGGATGACCCAAGCAGGCCATTCTAGGTCAGAAATCAGCTGTCTTATTTCACATAGCTGAGTCTCATCCCAGGGTAGTTGGGACATTTTGCTGAAAAAACAAAACAAAACAAAAAACAACTGAAAGACTTTATTATTTATCTGTCCAACAGAACCCTAGCAACTAGCAAAGAGATAGGAAAAGTAAGGAGCTCTCAAAAGGCTGAAAAGTGTTCTTATTCTCTAAAAGAGAAACCTCTATTTCTTTCAAAACAGCATAACCCTCTCAAGGCAAATGTCTTTCTGATCTCCACCAAATGGTAGGAAAAGAGGTTTGATTTTACCAACTAATTATTGTACTGAGATTTTGTAAGCACTAACCTTTGTACTTAATTTTGAAGTCAGGAAGGACAATTAATAAGGATAGATTCTCCTGATAGAACTCTGGAAGACAGAGTGAATAATGGAAGAATATTTATAAACAACAAGGGGCTCCTGGGTGGCTCAGTCAGTTAAGCACCAGACTCTTGGCTTTGGTTAGGCCATGATCTCATGGGTTGTGAGACAGAGTCCTGACTTGGGTTGCACACTCAGTGGGGAGTCTGCTTGAAGACTTTCTCCCTCTCCTCCTTCCCCCTTTCCCTTGTGCGCACACACACACTCTCTCTTAAATAAAAAATAAATAAATCTTTAAAAAAAATAAAAACAATAACAAATACACATGTATTCCAACTTCCAGCACTCAGTAATCAGCTTTCTATCTCCAGGGACAACCCTGTGCTTCAAAATTGTGAAAGCATCCTTCGCCCCAGAAGGTATATACACTTCTTGAAAATATGAAAAAAAAATTTTTTAAGGGAATAACATAGTATGAAGGTTGAAAGAGTTTAAAATCTATTATAATTAACGTGATTTGGAGAATAAATACTTCGTGAAAATTAGGAGGGTTTTTTTTTTTTTTTCCCAAAATAAGATACCTGTGTTTTAAAACTATATATGTTTTAGGATTAATGAGTGGAAATTAAAGTTTCTCAAGGGTAAGAAGTATTCCAAATTCTTCTAAAAAAGATGGAATTTAAAAAACAAATGAACAGGGGTGCCTGGGTGGCTCAGTGGGTTGGGCCTCTGCCTTCAGCTCAGGTTGTGATCTCGGGGTCCTGGGATTGAGCCCCGCATCAGGCTCTCTGCTCGGCGGGGAGCCTGCTTCCCCCCTCTCTCTCTACCTAACTCTCTGCCTATTTGTGATCTCTGTCAAATAAATAAATAAATAAATCTTTAAAAAAAAACCACAAATGAACAAAAACAACAATAAAACAAAACAAAAACCCCTTCCATGGTGCACTGATTTTTACTGAGATATTTACTAAAAACCCATTATGTATAAGTTCTTGGCTAGGCCTCGAGGTCACCACACTGAACAATACAGAAGTAGCCCTTGGTCTCCTGGAATATTTAGATGATGGCTTGGAAGACTAACAGTAAGTAAGCTATCTGTAAATAAACACATCATTTCAGATTGCAACAAGCGCTTTAAACAGAACAGAGTGTTGTGAAATCTATTTGAAGGATCTAATTTAGATTTAGAGGATAAGAAGACACATGAACTGAGAGTTGAACTGAAGCTCAAAATATAAGAAAAAGCAAAGGAGAAAAAAGAGAGAAGCTCATACTAAAGTGGGAGATGGGCAGGCAAGTATGCCCAGAAGCATGGGTAGTGGGTTTAAAACATGTGTACAATTTCTTTGACACTTGTCCCATCAAAAGGAGGAGTCTAATTTCCCCACCCCTTGATTATGGGCTAGTTTTATTACTTGCTTTTAAAAAAAAAAAAAAAGATTTTATTTATTTATTTGACAGACAGAGATCACAAGTAGGCAGAGAGAGAGGAAGGGAAGCAGGCTTCCTGCCGAGCAGAGAGCACAATGCGGAACTCGATCCCAGGACCCTGGGATCATGACCTGAGCCAAAGGAGAGGCTTTAACCCACTGAGTCACCCAGGTGCCCCTTATTACTTGCATTTGATTAACAGAGTATGATGGAAGGATGAGATGTTGCCCAACTTTTAAGGCTATGTTAAAAAAGTCTTCTGCCTGGCTCTCTCTTGAAAGAGAAAATCACCCGGGAATCTGGTCTCCATAATGTAAGGAAGCCAAGGCCACATACAGAGGCCACATGTAGATTCCCTTTGACATTCTCATGTGAAGTCCCAGCCAATGAGCCAGCATCAACTGAAAGACAAGGGAATAATATGCATTCACATGATTCTAGCCCCAGCCTATGAATAGTACTTATAAATACAAGCTACCCTTGCTAAGCCTAGCCCAAACTACAGATTTGTGAGTAAAATGAATGATGTTGTTGTTTTAACCTGCTAAGCCTTGGGACTAATTTTTTCACAGTAACAGATAAGTGGAATAGCATGAAAGAGCTTTGTATTTTCATGGAACTGAAAGAAAGCCACTTTGGCTAAGAGGGAGTGAGTCTAGGAAAGAGTTATATGATCAAGTCATGCAGTAACTTATAGCATTTAATATGTGTGAATATAATATGGAAAGCAGGGAAGGGTTTTAAACCTCTAAGTGATATGATCAGATTTGGGTTAGGAAAGTGTCATTCTGGCTACTGTGTGGGTAATTAATTGGAGAAAATATGAATAAAGTGGGACAGTTAGGAAGTAAAAGCAATTCTGGCAGTAGCTGGGGAGATGGCTAAGATGATTTCAGGATACATTTGAGAGGCAGATACAACTTTGTAAGCTATAAAGTATGTTGCAGCTGTTGTTATACCACTTAAGTACAAACTGTTTTTTGGAGGGTTGAATCGTAGGCACAAGGATACAAAGAAACTTCAAAGTGTTTGCTATGAAGGTGTTCATAGCCAAGGTGTCAAAGAAGCAAACATTCTGATGAAAGCTTATATGGGCACCAAAGGCGCACCTGGATATGTCAGCCAAACCTCAGAGGGAAGAGCTTTGGGGTGATGGTAACAGAACTTAAACATACCTCAAAAAGGATTTCAAGGCATTCAAATCTCCTTAGTTTACAAAAAGGCTCCTCTGTCTTCTTTTCATCTCCAAGGTCACTTCCCTAGACTAGGTTCTCCTTTACTTGCACTTGAATATTGCAACACTTGCCTAATTGCCTAATTCATTTCCCTGGCTCCATATTCTTTCCATTTTGATCTATCCTACTTAGTACTGAAAGATTAATTATCCTAAAATATCATTTCCTTTTTTTAACTTTCCTGCTCAAGACACTATGATTGCTATCATTTACTTCCTGAACTGGTTTAAAATTCTTTTCTTGCATTTAATAAACTCCAAAAGTTCAGAATGTATCTACTTCTGCAAACTCAACCCTCTTTAAAAACAAGTATACTAAATGAATATTACTCAAACTGATTTATGGACCACAGAATGTGTTTCCCAGTTTGCTTATGTTCTTACCAGTCCCACACCATCCTTATCCCGAACACAGCAATGTGTCTTGGCCAATCAAGACTCAGTCCTCCTTGAAGTCTTTATATTTCCTTCTCTCTCTCTCTTTATCTCTCTCTCCTGTATTTGGTGTACAAGAAGCTCACTGAACACTTATAAAGTCATCATGTGACAGTAATGCTCAAAAGTGGGTATGGGCACAGCCTTTGGGTCCAGAGGATACATGTTCAAGCCTGGATCACATACTCACAAGTTATGGTCTTGAGTAAAATACAGGGCCTTTGTAAGTTTCAGTTCATACATCTCTGAAATGGAGATAATATCACCACCTAAAGGTTGTAGTGAGGATTCAATAAAATATCCCTATAAGAGTACTTATCATAGGGTATGGCACAAAATAGTTCAGCAATAGTGAATAAAAATATATATATTTGTGTATGTTACAATTATTTATATAACAATTACACTTCCAAAATATCTGAGGAATACATGACAATTTTAGGTAACAGATTTGTTACACTCTTGACAAAAGTATCTCTGACCTCTACACCCACTGAGAAGAAACCACAAAATAAAACAAAAACTTTTCCCCTGCTACCATATACCATTGTTGATGAACATCTCATGAGCCTCTCGGGGATCTTTCTTCTGAGGTTCCGGTACTTTGAGTTGTATCCTCTCTCGACCATAAATCCTGTTTTCTATTTCCTGGGTTTCTCTCAGTCTCCTGTCATCTCTTGCAAATTGTATTAACAAGATAATACTCTTAAGAGATGAGCTCAAAGTCTGGAACAGGCATCAGTGTTAGTTTTTTTCCTCTTTTCTTCTGAGAACTTGTCCCTAACTGCATTTATTTTATCTATATGAATTGCCACCTTTGCTTAATTCTACAAATCCAAGGCTGAGTTATCCTACGGCTTCCAGTACTCCTTTTATGCGTCAGCTGAGCCTGCAGCCCCTCACCTTTAATTGGCTTCCCTCTGGTAAAAAGGCAGATAAACTACATCTTTGTTATCTTATGTTTCCTGGTGATATGAACATTCATATAGCAAGACTGACAAAATTATAAGGGCTGCGCTATTTGAGGACAATAGTGGCACAGAGAGGGAGGTAAGAAGTAAAAAAGAAAGAGAACATGAAGTAGGAAAATGAAACACCAACAGTGAAGGGGTGCCATTAAGAAAAGAGGCCAACAAAAGACACAATGGAGACACCAGAGAAGTAGCGGAAGAATCAGAGGTGTCATGAAAGTTGACAGAGGATTACCAGGTCACATCCATCAAGACTGATCAAACTTAACCCTCCCCCCCAGCCCCCACAAAAAAGCTCTGCATCACAAAGCATTGGCAACGCTGTAGAGCAACAGGCGCTCTTTCACAATGCTGACAGGAATGTAAATTTATACAGTATGTCAGGGAAACAATTTGGAATGTATTAACATAGATGTAAACACTCTAAATAAATTTGTAGGGTACATTCCTTGGAGAAATTCTTGCACATGTGCACCAGAGACTTGTGTGCAAAACAAAACAGAACAAAACAAAAATTAAAAGGAAACCTAACTTGAGAATGGAGTGGACAAATGAAATGTGCTGTAATATTTCAGGGAGATTCTATGTAATAGTGTGAGGAAGAAACTATGACCTTCTCTTGGTGTCTCATTGCTTCCTTTCAATTCTCAGGTCTCAGTTCAAATGGTACCTCCTCAGAGAGCATCCACTCCAAGTCATCCCAAGTAAACAGACCTCTCCTATTATTTTGTATTTAAATAACTTATTTAATTCTAAAGTAATTTCCAAAATAGATATTTATTTTACTTGTCTCCCACTTTCTGGACTCTGGGCTCTATGAGGGCAGGGACTATGTGTGTCTTACTAAACTACAGACAGAACAATTCCTGGCATGGAGTAGGTACTCAATAAATATTGAATGGATGAACAAATGATTATATTTGAATGTTATTTACTCATAAAGAAGAATCCGATGGACTCATAGGTACACATAGGTACATATCTATATGTTATGCTTGCATGTGCACAGAAGACTTCTACCTGTTTACACAAGAAATCATTAAGGATGTTTATCTCTTGTGAAAGGAACTTGTGGGTAAAGCATGGAAACAGAAGTAACTTTTTAACTTTTACTACTTAATTATTCTATGATTATGCTTTTGAAAGACCTATTAAATAAATGAAAAATCAGAGGCAAAGTCTGGTTAAAAGCAGTCCTTTCTATATATAACAGATGATACCCCACATAATATCCAAAGATTGCCTAAAACAATGCAATTTAAATGGATTTCAAGGACTGCACTTGCACTGATTAAACATAATGAGTTCTGTATTTCTGTAGCAATATCATTAGACCACTAATCCAGTAAACATTATGTTTAAATCTTCCACACTGATTCTTATATGTTACTCATTTGTGTTTAATTTAACATGTTATTTTGACTTGATAAATACAGCAAATTAAAAATTGAAACGGGGCAACCTTACAATTCCGAATTGTTGCGGAATGAGGAAAACTGCTTTGTGAAACAAAATTATATGATTACATTTAGATTCATTTTAAAAATATTCCACCCCATTCAATATATGATGTTGCTCACAAAAAAAAAATATATATATATACTCAATAGGATTAAAAGAGGTAACACTGATATTTAAGGGCAAAAGAGTAGACAAGATAACATGCCAGTGGCAAAATTAATATAGATTATTATGTCTACTCTAATATCCTATATAGATGCTATTCACTTAATTCTCTGAATTCCCTAAAATTCAGAGTAAAGACAGAAAAATGAGCAATTATAAGATCAATTATGACAGTCACAAGATCACTTTAGAAGGAACACATTTTTATTCTCTACTCCTAATCCTAAATGCTGCTTTTCTCTGTGAACTTGAGGCTATATATTAGTTTCCTAATTAAAGACCAAAGAAAAGCAGTCATCACTTGGAATAGTTAACAACATA